GCTGCGACCCGCTGTCCTCCTGGGCTGTGGGCTGCGACCCGCTGTCCTCCTGGGCTGTGGGCTGCGACCCGCTGTCCTCCTGGGCTCGTGGCACTCTGTCTTCTCCCTTAATCTGTTTACACAAAAAATACCCCCCAGCTTTGCTGTCAGATAAAAGGACAGAGCCCTGGTGTAGTTTTGTACTCCAAGGTACAAACAGCATTAATGTACCACAGCAAGGGTACAGTTGGCAGACCCCTGAGGGTACAGCCCCAGTGACAATAACTGTACCCTCAAAGGTACAAATTGGTACTTTTTTTCTGACAGTGTAGGAGTCAGGTCTTTTGGACACACAACTTTTGGAAATTTTTGTTTTCTCTAAACAAAGCTACTTAAAGGCATTGCCGGTCCTCCTACTTAAAGGCATTGCCGGGCCCCCTGCTTAAAGGCATTGCCGGGCCCCCTGCTTAAAGGCATTGCCGGGCCCCCTGCTTAAAGGCATTGCCGGGCCCCCTGCTTAAAGGCATTGCCGGTCCCCCTGCTTAAAGGCATTGCCGGACCCCCTGCTTAAAGGCATTGCCGGACCCCCTGCTTAAAGGCATTGCCGGGCCCCCTGCTTAAAGGCATTGCCGGACCCCCTACTTAAAGGCATTGCCGGTCCTCCTACTTAAAGGTAGCGGCGTTTCTTTTTCTGCCTGACGGACTCCGTCGCAGTGCCATGGATCTGGAGAGAAATGAGTGCTGAACATCGTCGCGTCCAGCGAGCCTGAAGTGCCGAGTGGTAGCTTACGTCTGTGTCTTCGGCAGCTCCAGCTGACCCAGCGGATGCCCCTGGTGCCGGAGCCCATGTGCCTCATCGTGCCCATCGTGTACGACATGGCCACGGGCCTCACGCAGCAGGCCGACATCCCGCGGCAGCAGAGCTCCTCCGGAGCCGCCGCCCTCATGGTCAGCAGCATCCTCAAGCGCTTCAGCGACATGCACCCCCCACGCCAAGGTGAGTGGGGGCCAGCTGGGGTCTTCCTGTACGCTGCAGGTCGCTACGGTGATGATCCCGCGCATGTCTGATGGAGGCCGGTGGCAGTGGACGGGACACGGCGATGACGCTCCCTATCATGGGGTCCAGGTCCCTTTGGGGCAGAGCTGTCAGTCTGCAGTCTCTAACAGAGCACCGGTTACTGATTTAATTCAGCTGAAACAGTTTAGAGATTAAGGTTATAGACTCTCAAATTTGAGATCCTGATTTTTGTACCCTGTCTTGCTGCTGTTCCTCTAATCAGTATCTGGTTAGCAAGATGTATTTCTGAATATCAGAATCAGAATCTTTATCAAAGTCAAAGACTTTGATTTTGATATAGATTCTGATTCTCAAAGTCAAAGAATCAGAATCTTTATTGACACTGCTTGCTACTGACAGAGACATGACAATAGACAATTACATTATCCACCCATATCCGCAGTTTCTGTGGTTTACCATGGTCTGAAAAAAAATTGTGAAGTGTATAACAAAGTTTTTTCATTGTTCCTTAATCCTTTGAGGGGTATAAAAAGGATGGAGATTTATTAATTCAACTTGATACATGATATTTTTTCATTAATCTCTCGTCTTGAACGTCAGAATCCCTTTTGTTTGAGTATAGTACTGTACAGTAACTGTATAATGTACAATGTACTTTATTTCTGTATTTAATGTTTGTCTAACTGTACATAATTTATCAATTACCATGTGTACATACATGAAAATCACCTTGTATATGGGGTCTGCGGATGGTTCCCTATTATCCACAGTAGGTATTGGAACGCATCCCCTGCAGATACTGTGGGCCTCCATACTGATACAAGATGCACAATAGAGAGTGGTTATGGGTACAAGTTATGGTAAATACAGTGGTGAAAGTTAGCTAGGTAACCAAGGGAACTAATCAGGCTACCAGTTAATGTTAAATTATTTCATTTCTGAAGTAGTGTCAAACTCTCTCCTCCAGGTGAATGCACGATATTTGCGGCCGTTCACGAACTTATGCTCAACCTCACGTTGCCCCCTAGTGGACGTCCCTAGCAGAAACATAGCGGCGATCGATCCATGTCCGGGATCGCAACTGCGCGCCACGCTGGCGCCCTCAAGTGCAAACAGAAGGAATAGCCATTGAACTCCCTCCGTCTGACTTCCTTGTAAATAACACGTTTATAAATGTGTGAGGACAGAACTGCAGGAAGCGTCTTTTTGATAGTCAGCCACAAATTTTGGATTCAAGCGGAACCAACTGAATTTATTTTTTTGAAGATACACTTCTTATATAAATATTACTGTAGTGTTTGTTTACAGCCTAGAGTACCTTTTTATATTTCAGTGTTAAAGAATGGCGGGAAGGATGAAGGTATTTGGGGGGGGGGGGTTTGAAGGGGAAAATCTTTATTAAAAACTTATGTCGCAAAAATACAAATATTATTTAGTCGTTGGATGTACTCTGCAAACACCATTGTAAATTTCTTTCGATGTTTTGACATAATTTAAACCTTTTCTATTAAAGCTGTTACTTTGAGTTGTGTAACTCTGACAAACTTTATAAGTAGGCCTGAGCTGTATTTTATTTGTTGACCCGAGACTACTTTTTATGGTTTAATATTTAATAAAATGGTAAAGAAAATTGGCAAAATTTGTGTACGTTTCCGCTCACATGAAGTACGTTGAAATTCCATGTGGCCGCAGCCTATTTTTCAAAGGATTTTTTTTTTTGGTTTTGTTTAACTACTGAACTGTCCTGTACTGGTTTATGTCAAATTATGTCACTACATTCTCGTCAACAACTGCCAGTAATAACATGGATTAATGTTCTTATGGGAAATAATATGGGGTTGGAAAACTGCCCCCCCCTAAAAAAATTAAGCATTAACTTCTTAGATTTGGTTATTCCTTCTGAAAATGAGTGCTAATGAAATTTGTCTTCGGACGGGTCACAGACGCATATAACTTTGTGGCTCAACAGCAGGTGTAGCGATCACCGAAGCGAAGCTCACCGCGCTTCATGTCCCTGAAGGGCGTTACTTAAGCTAATTGCCATTATCTTTCAGACATTTGCAGCGTAGAGTTCGCGCACCACTTGAACTATAATTCCCACAGTGCACCGCGGCGAACATTGACAAAACACGGAAATAGGCTTTTTAAACGGCAGGACTGCACTTCGCTGGCTTTGTGATACAGAATTGTGCATGCATGATTGGTAGAAGCAGTGACTGATGTGCGGTCACAATCTAAATGCATATTTGGCCACGTTTTTGCTAAACGAAACCAAATTAAACTAGTCGCTGAACGTGATAGTTGAGTCAAAGAGACGATCGTCGAAATGGTATATGAGGAGTTAAGCGCTCGTCTGAACGAGTCCGGCTATAAAAACTGGTTGAAAGCGGGTTACTGCCTCCTAAAAGTGAAGGACGGACTGTGCGACTTCGTGAATAATGAAATGAAATGTTTTCATGCGGTTATAATTGATAGTAACCATGTGCTGAGATCTGGCAGGCAATGCCAGAACCAGTGCAGACCAAAGGGAAACCAGGTAAGCGAGTGTGTGTTTGTGTGGGGGGGGGGGCAAAATTAAACTGGCTGGCAACCTGGCGCCCCCTGGCGCCCTAGGCAGCTGCCTGTGTCATCTATAGACCGACTGTATTATTTTAAGTGGTGACGTGATTTTTAAATGTTCCACAAGTTCACGTCGGTCTGCTCAGTGTGCCGTGAATGGAAGGCGGAGATTTTACGGCATCACACCAATACAGCAGGAGTGGTGAACTGGAGCAACTGTAAGCCGTGGCTGTGGTCCTTTCAGCACTGGGAGCTGGCAAAGGCAAGTCTTCCTGAAATGCACCATGCAGTCACTACTACGTAAGTGTGACGCACTGAGTCCTGTGGCCTCACCTGCTGGTGCTGTGTCTCTCTTACAGGCTTACATGCCTCGCGGGCAGGTGAACAGCACCAGCCCGGAGCAATGTGACGCTGCCGCACTCCTCAACCTCATCAACTTCTGCGACCACTTCAGCTTTATAGACCAGCAGAGTGTCAGGGAGGTGAGATCCATTCAGGCAACAACAGTTCGATCTTAATCTAGCTTACTAGCAGTGTGAGAATTATGTGCATAACATGCGATGTTGGTATTAATATCACACATCATCCAGCCCTGTAATATACTACAGTAATTTTTAGAATTCAGTACAAAATACCCCGCCTCGAGCTGTGAGGTCATTCAGCGCTGATACCAGTTACTAGTGGAAAACCAACACCTTGAAGTACCATACTTTTGGTACTTTCCTGAAGTACCAAAAGTACAGTACTTGGTGTGGTGAAAAAGCACCCAAGGTTTGTCACCCCAGATTATATGGTGTTCTATGATATTGTGCATCAGAACAAAACTGAAATGAATGAGAAAGGGCTGGCAAATGTACCTTTGCCCAGCTGAAGGTGTCCCTGGGGGCTGCTGCTTGCAGGTGATCAGGCAGAGGAATGAGCTGATGCACTCCTGTGAGATGCGGGTGTCACCCAAGTGGATGGCCCAGTTACAGAGGAACCTGGACCAGCTCCTGCAGCAGCTCAGACGTGTCCCTAAGGTGGCTGCTATCAGCCAGGAGATACGGGAGGTAACCCAGGACGCTGGTGTGTGTGTGTGTGTGTGTGTGTGTGTGTGTGTGTGTGTGAGAGCAAGGGGGCTAAGTATGGAATGTAAATGTTACAAAAAACCTGACATACATTATATTATTGTCTATGACATGTTTCATTAGCTAGATTTTTACTGAGACTCAAATCTAATGCACACAGGGCAACGTTTATACTGCCTTGTAATTAGAGTTTATTTGTGATTGGTGGGTGCATGTGTTGGTGCACAGATCCTGTCGGCCGATTGGTCGGTGAGCTTCACCGAGTCGGATGCTGTTGACGGCGCTCAGTGGGAGGGGGTGGAGCCGGAGCTCATCAGCCAGCTGGAGACTGATCTACTGAGGGAGAAACTGGACCACCTGTTGGTCCGCTCTGAGTCGGAACCCCCCCCTGACCCAAAGGTGAAGCAATTACATTTCAGCTTAGTCCCTCAGTCAATCTTCACCACCTTTTCTAAATATGCATAACACTGCTCTCAGAATGCTCCATTATGCATTTTTCTAACAGTCATTAATGAATAACTTCATTAGAGCAAAATTAAGTAAGTACCATGGTTTTACACTGCTCGTATACCAAAAGTATTGGCTTCTTAAATGGTTCTGAAATTGGTTTTTCAGGAACTTGAGGAGTTGGGGAAGCTCAAAGAATTCATTCGCCTCCACCCAGACTTGGAGAAGTGCTTTCAGACTCATTTGTGCAAAGATCAATCACAGCAGTTTGAAGGAGATTCCATGAAATGATGCTGAGACGTTTGACAGGGTGTATAAGTACAGCAGACAGGCGGTGAATGAAGAATGAGTCAGCAGAAATGCCGTGTTTTCAAATAAAGGCAGTTAACCAATGATCGATTTGTAGTTAAATGTGATGTAAAAGGATGTTCTCCTAAATCAACTTTGTTATGCAATGAGTCTCGTAAAACAATGTATTACTCACAGCCTTCTGACAGAAAACGTCATGTGACCTGAGGGAGCCGCAAGGAGTGCCGCGGCGTTTGGACCGAATACCGTCGACGGTGTTTATTTCTTAGGAAAAACAGCATATTATACTCCACTGTGGACATTTTACATTTATCATAGTTCGGTTTCGTTACGGTGATGGCGATGTGCGACCGATTTTCGGACGAGAATTACAAAAACTGGCTCAAAACTACAATGAGCTTGCAGCTACTGAGACACGGCCTCGGCGATTTCATAGAAGAGCAAAGCGAAAGTTATCACAGCTCCCTTCGCAGGAACCTTGGGGATGCGGAATGTGCAAGGAAATGTCATTTCGGCACGTCGCAGCCCCACAAGGTAAAGTTATTACTAAGCGAAATACAGGGACACTTCAAGGAGGAAAATCCGTTAATCGTTAGTTCTTATATATCGAATATTTGTGCATGTTACCAGTGGTTAAATCAATAAAAGAAGGCTATCCCTGTCACTCCAAGGGGAAGGGGGGGGGGGGTCCTGAATAAGCAGCTCTGTACAATCTTCCATTAATTGTCATGGGTATTTATGGTCACAATTACAAGCTACTTGTAGGCCTATGTTAATTTATCGTTATGTCATTTTAACAGGCACGTTTTAAAGCAATACAAAATAAAGTAGAAGAGATATGGCGATTGTGCATATCGCGTGGTTAAAAGCATTTGAATTTCTTGAAACATAACATATAAATTACAGTTAAAAATGACATGACTACACGTAATACCATTGCTTATTTATTCGTAATGTCCCCATGAAAATACATTAAAATATCCAGTTAGACCCGTCTTCCCTGTAATGTATTTTCTGCAAAAAGAAAATGAAAATGATCAAAAGAAAATACAATCTCCACTTTGCCATTTAGTTTCCAAAGTTTGTGCGCTAAAAAACTGCAACAATTACAAGTTACAGGTACATTCATTTATTTAAACTTATGTTTAATCTTCCATACATGGTAAGCGAGATAACCAACTCCATATTGATGCCTATGGATTTAGAATGGGATGTCATAAAATTGCATTGGGGTGTAATAGCCAGGTGACCCAGTACTTTTGTCTGTATAGTGTATGTAAAAGGTGGTATAACTGGCAGATTCAAAAATCCTAGACTGATATACTTCTAAATATCTGATGGGCATCTGCAATGCATCAGCGACTCCGTCGGGTCACATCGTTGAACAGTTCGACAGTTTCACAAAGCGATCCAGTGGCGATTTGCCTGCGCAGAGCCAACACCGATTTGACTGGTATCTGACCGGAGGTTTTGTCAGCGATCTCCAAAATGTTGGCGAGCGAAACATTGGGGCTAAAATCGTGTGGTGTGAAGGTAGCATAACCATATTTTCCCCATTGGGGGGAGGGGGGGGGGTACTGAACTGTACACCTGCCTTGTGCCCTATGCTGGCTGGATAGGCTTCAGGCCGCACTACAATACTGACCAGTCTAAGAAGTTAGAATAAGAGGAAGGTGCGTAGAATGGGAAAAGAGCCAGGAATCTGAAGCTTCTTTAACCGGCTGTGTTAGATTTTGTTTGATTCCTGAAATTATTGAAAAGCAGTTAATACTGCACAAACATAATGTAATATTATAGTATTAAAAGTGCTCATAAAGCTAACATTGTAACTTTGATTTTATTACTATTAGACATATTTTGGGACAAAGGTTAGGTTTACAGTAAGTAGAGACAAAGAATTTTGTGTAAAATAAGAATAACGACCATTAAAATGTAAATCATACATTAAAGTCATTAATGATTTCTTCCGCAATATGTCCAGTGTCACCATTTAAACCATATTTTCAACAGGATTCTAATCTTTGCGAAACCTGTGCAAAGTGGAAACAAGAAATATTAAACAATCATAAAAATAATAAAGGACGTATTTACTGGGACAACTGTGAACCTCATAAGTGGTCAAAGGACAAGTGGGAGGTAGCAAAGGTAATTTCGAGTTTATTGTGATACTGTTTGTGTTTATTGTGATACTGTTTGTGTTTATTGTGATACTATTTGTGATAATTGTGATACTGTTTGTGTTTATTGTGATACTGTTTGTGTTAATTGTGATACTGTTTGTGTTTATTGTGATACTGTTTGTGTTTATTGTGATACTATTTGTGATAATTGTGATACTGTTTGTGTTTATTGTG